GAGACTGCTGGACGATCAAATGATGCCACATTGAAACTTATCATCCACTCGCTCCATGATCCCACGGCGCTCAATAAGAGATACACGGTAGGGGCGCTGTCGTAGAGGCACTTGAGAGCCAGTGTTAATGTGATGGACAACGGTGTGCGTTTGGCCTAATGACGTCTGCTGACAATCGAATGAGCCGAAAAACTGGTGAAGTTCTAGGAGCTTCTCACATTGTGCTTCTTCACATTCGCCGTCAACTGAGGGGCCAAACACATTCATGCTTGCATGGACAGGCGCACTGGCAGATGGCGTCGGTGAATTAAGCTGCAAATCACTTTCCCCGTCAAGACTAAAGATGGAGGAAATGTCTAAGTCTTCGAATGTTCCAATTGATTCTCCACAAAGCAGGATTGTAGGAGATGGCAAGAAATCCATGAAAAATAAATTCATAGCGGAGGTCGTAATGTATAAAACAGAACAAGGCAACGCGAGGCTCCTGCGAAGTTGGAATGTTTGGGAAGTCGTAAACAACACTGCAGACTTGGACACATCAGCAGAGGACATGGGAACAATGGCTGCGCTATTCGGTGGCATGTTGATGTCATCGACTACAAACAGCTTGTTGAAAGCATATTCCGGTGACGAGGGACATAACACAGAGAATGTCACTTCTGCATGAGCACAATTGATAACCGCATGATTCCAAGACTCAGCCAAATCTCAAAAAATCTCAGCCAAGGATCACATCATGAGAACATGCAGATAGCACAAGAAATTCAACAGTATACAAAACATCTTGGATTATAATGCGGGCTGTGCAGGCAGCTGATGGTCGAATATCGCGAGCGCTGGCAGTATGTACGGTAAGGTTGTGGTAACCTTCCGAAGCAGGTGCAAAGTTTTAAACCAATTACTTAAACGGCAGCACCAGTGTCCACAAGCACAGGGGTACGATAACGATCCACAAAAACGTAGATGAGGTTTGCCGGAGAAATGCGAGGACTTGATTCTTTGCACGACAACGCTGCTCATGCATCGGGAACTGCGGCATCTAGTTTTGTGCGTCTGAGCTGTAGGTTCGATGGTGCATAGGTGACGGGGAGTGACGTTGGGGGCGATGAAGATTGGTGATTAACTGAGAGGGAACAGTTGGGCGAAGCAGATCCTTGTTGCCGGGTCGTACCACTACAGCGCCGAGAGTTGTGCGCTGATCTTTGCATGGTATATGTGTGAACAAGAGAACAGCAGCCGCAGAAATGTACCACATGGCCTGCATAACCGCAAGAATAGCAAATAGGGCAGTTGTCTGCAGTGTGCCACAGATTGAAAAATGCTGCGACTGGTCGGCCGAACAGAGCCAGTGATGATCATACAGGCACCGACGAGAGAGTTAAGTGTCCTGTCGAGGTGCTCTGGCTGCTACGACTTGCGCATACGTCAAGGATATACAGTCTCCAGATGTGGTGAATCAGCGAAAGGCAAAGTGTCAGCTACAGCATATTATATATATAACAAGCCATACCATTTTTTTTCCACATCAGTACCAGAATCCTGTTCAACAACAGAACACATACAATATAATCACTTTTAGGCGCTCAATGTTGCTTGAATGGAGGAAAGACTGGCTCTATGGTTGGACTTCTCACACTTCTCTGATTATGCCTCGGCTTGTTTGGGGTAAAAGAAAACTCCAAAGGAGCACATTTTGCAGAATTTCGAAGCGGCACAAAAAAAAAAAAGAAAGTCAACATTCTGAATTTTGCAGTGATGGTTCAAAAACACAAGAACATACAGGAACTGTTGTATCAAAACACTCAGAATCCTACATCAGAGTGCGGCAACTTCCATCTGTCTTTACAGCAAAAATATACGATCTGTTCATCACTCTAGAAAAACTTTCATCTAGAAACCACGAAAAGGCAGTTGGATACAATGACTCCCTTAGCGTATTAAAGGCATGATACACTAAATGAGAAAGCGAACCATTTGTTGGGGACATTTTACAAATGTTAGAAGCAGCTTAAAAAATATGGTGAGACAATCCATCCAGTATGTGTGCAGAGCCATGTTAGCATCCAAAGAAATCACAGGGTAGGAGCAATTGTAGCTTGTAATAGAGCAGCAGAAATAAAGTTTTAATTAAGAGATTGTTTTACCAGATACCTGACAGCCCTTAACATGAAATGGCAAGAAGAGTGACAATCTAAAGAGCATAACAGCTTCAACAAAAGCCTATTTTACAAGAAGTCATGCTGTCACAGAAATTGCTTCATCGAAACAATACTATGCCACTTGTGGATAGGCCACATTCACTTCACTCACAATTATTTACTGCAAGAAGAGCAGCCAGAATACCAAGGAACTTCCGACTGTAAATCATGTTTTAATAACATGCCAGTCTTCAAAGAAGAAGAAGACATCATTAGTTTTTAAATAAATTCTACAAGACACAAAAACCTCTTCACCCAATGTTGTTGCTATCAGAAAATGCAATCATTCTCACAGAGGACATGTCGGGGTTTCTAGTGGCTACAAGTCATTTACACATATTGTAAACAAAAAATTGTTCTTATACTCTTCAATTGACCTTCTCATTAAAGATCACCTTGTGTCTGGCAAATCACAGCCATTGCTGCTCTTATAATAAAAATTCGCAGTGCAAACCAACGGGACGCAAAGGAGAAGGCAAACAAGCGCAGACTGAGACTTGGTTTATTCATTGAAGATAACAAACACCAGAAAAACAAGAGAAAGGAAAATATAAGAGGGAAGGTTCCATTGTGATCAAATGTTGTCCAGAAATGAAATTTCACTATCTAGGTAAAAGGGACAGAGATGGTGAGCTTACACAACTATCAATATTTTTTTAATGAAAAAAGCTTCCACAATTTCCCTCAATTCTGTGTCACGATGAGTGTGCAATACAGGTGTGCACAGAAATTCAGGTATGTAGCCACACTTTGTACCTGAATGTAGCAGCGACACAGCCATAGTGCTGTGGCGCTGCTAGCGCATCACAGTATGACATTCAATTTTCTTCCTTTGCACCATCATCAAAGGCCGAGAGAGAAAAGGGGAAACTGGTCTCCGTATGCATCTGAACTCTGCTCCTTCCAGCCCACGTCTCATTCATGGCCTGTCCATACAGGAGCGGCTATGCATTTTGGGCTTTCATTTTGAACCCTGTGGCCTAACTACTGAAAATTGACTGTTAGCTAAAATGAAGGCATACAACAGAATTTGAGAACTCAGTGCCTTGGCACATACATTGACGTCAAGGGTAACGATAATTCGATAGTTGCTCTTTAATTATATAGCTTCAGTTTCGCACCAAGCTAAACCTGGAGGGGCTCCTTTTTCATTTTCTATGGAGTGGCTCATCTACATAAATGGTGCGACCTGTGCTCAAGTTGCCCAGGGCTCAGGGAGGACTTGAAATTGACAACCTTGGCATCGTGGCGACTGTGCTGTATGTTAGATGTACACTGGTAGCTCTCGCTTCGCATATGCCCCTAACTCGAAGGTTTGCGTTATACTTTCTTAGCACACGATTGTGGCTGTTCTCGCATCAGGCAGTTAAATACCGTGCCTCTGGCAGGAACTCCTTCACCCTTTAATGCGGTGTCGTATCAACTTTGGCGGAAGGTCAACCCAAAGTTTTTAACTTCCATTGAGTTACACAAGTTAGTCAATCAGCTTACCCTCGATTTCCCAGCCAACTGTAAGAGATATGTCTCGTCGGGCCACCGTCCTAGCTGGAAGCTGATTACAGCCAGCTTTCTAGATGCCAAGCATGCTACATTGATCTACCGCCCGGCAAAAGGGTGCCTGCCCCAAATGTTCAGGCTTTTCACAAAAATCCCAACGAGAGACAAGCGTCCATTCTGTGGCAATAATGAGGACTTGGTTCACACCTTCTGCCAGTGTGTGTGCTTCCAGATGCCCTCCATCAAAAGATAGCTTGACTGTTTGGTGACACTGGTGTTCTATTAGACACAATTTAGTTTCTACACCCCCTGCCTACACAGGCATTCAACCAATATGTGCTTCTTCTAGTCGAGTGTTCATACCAAGTTTGGTAGGCACAGTGTGGCGCCATCTTTGGTGCAAAGCAGCCACGCCTTCAACAAGTGCTTACAAAAGCGTGGAAGGAGGACAGATTTTTTCTCCACCAAAAATTACACTGCCTAGGCACAAAGAAGTTTCTCGAAACCTGGCAAGGTCCAGCAGTCATCTTTAGTGAGTCTTGAGGGCAGGTAACCATATTTTAATGATGGCATGATGGCCCGTTTGAAGTCATCGAATGCCCCATTTTTTAAAACATTTTTTCCTGCTTATCAATAACTTGGAAGATGCTGTTTCTATCAACCATCTCAAACCTGCATATTTGGACACCGACACTTCGATAAACGTCTCATATAGCACTCGCTTCTTACTGCCATATTCATCGCATGAATTTCAGGGCTCAACAGTCTTGTTCTGGATACCTGTAACACACTCAAGACTTCCTCGCTAGAAGAGGGGGCCCTGTAGTTGAAAATAAGTTAATTTTTATGAATTGCACAATAACTGCTTAACATTTCATTTCTTCTCCATGCAAGTTAACTGATGGTTGGCTCTCACATGTGCTTCCACTACTGTTAATATACTACTGTAATAAGGTACAGCACTTCATGCCTTAGCAAAAAGGTTTTGTGTCTGCCTGTGCACTATGCTGACAGTTGTCTCAAGGACTATGTCTCCACAACCACCTGCTTTCATGGCTATTCCGTTGTTCAACGATGCCACAACACATGGCATGCTAATGTTCTCTCTTCATAATGTCATGACTTCAGCAGATAAACCATAGTGATAAACTTCTACAGGTGCCTACAAGTGATGCATAGCACGAGAAAACATCTTTTTAACGACTGTCGTGAACCGCGTGTCAACTTCTGCGGTCCTGCAGCATCAGCTGCACAAACTGGGGCACAGCTTCAAGCAGAAAAGCCAACATGCAGGCCACAACAAACTTTGCAGTGCTTTTTCATTGCTTTATTCGATCCTCTTATCACACATACTTCTTCTGTCCAAACAAGCTTGAAAACAGCTCCGTCCTGAAAGCATAACAGCATTCAGCATTAAACGAAAGCACTAATTGCAGCCATGCGAAAAATAACACTTCACGCCACTCACTTTTCGAACCAGTTTGCTTTTTCCAGCAAGTCTGGCCTAATTTCACCCCTACCAATGTCATAACATTGCGACTGAACACTGACCAAAACTTGCTTTTCTTTGGACATGACTTGATGCTTTGCCCAACCATTTCAAACCATTTTTAGCTTGCAGAGCCACTTGTTGACAATCAATACCAAACATAATTTCTCACTACAAGTAATCTTTCAACCAAAGCATTCTTTGTTGACATGAACTATATTTACAATTTTTAAAGGGGTACTACCACAAATTTTAGTGAGTGACATAGCCTCTGGAGTCAACTCCTGCAAACATGCATACTATATTATCTGTGAAATAGTGAACATGGCTTGGAAAGTATTTTATATGAATTTGGAAGTTCAAATACACGATCGAATGCTATATGCCGCACCTCGTAGCATTGACAACCTCGATTGTGAGACTCCCTTCTTCTCTCTGAATGATGTCGTCATAGCCACCATTTTTCCTTTCGCACGTTTGCTCCAGCAGACTACTATTTGACGATTGCTCACAGGTCCATGGCCCTGGCGCATGCAATAAAAGTTTTGTGTCAGGCAACACTGCTTTTCCCATTTCCTGTTCACAAGACTCCTTGATGTGGACCATGCAGAAGTGCGTCACAGTAGTAAGCTGATCTGGCCAAACATGACACAAGCTAGTTGGTAATGGTGGCATCCGGCGGCTTGCCGAACCGAAAGTGAGACATGGTTTGTAACAAGGAGCTTGTAGTTCTTTATTTGTCAGGCACTACAGCAAATGATATGCCGCGTTATTACTAACAAGCCCCCAGCAACACATTGCAGCAAAAAACCATGAGGCCCCTTTAAGGCCTTAAAAAAGAATGCCTGAAAATGCAAAAATCAACAATACTTATGGCAAGTGTAACATCTATGCCTATGATCATTTCGCAGTAAAATTTCTGCCCTAACCTAATTAAGGAAGCACTGACACAAAAATTTTACAACCCACTTGTCACGGCTAAAAACTTTGTTGGCACACACGTGCAACGATTATTTACTTAAAGACATTTTTAGACACAGTTCCCACTTAAGAAAATACATAGCTAAGCAGGTTTTAGTCGATAGGAGTCTTGGGGCTGGTGTAACTTGTCACATGGTCATGACTGTCACTGCGCATGCGCTTAGGGTGTTTCATAATGGTGGTGCATGTTTCAATAAACCATTTCTTAATCTGCGATCGTCCTGTCCACTTCATTTCTGGTGCTTGTCTTTAGTGCAGTTATATTTTTTAATTACGAAGGAAAAAATGGCAGGCAGTAAAACCCCAAGGTGCGTACCAGCAATCAGCCAACACAAACTTACCACTTGAGTTTGTTTATATTCACACTGTGTTGACATCGGCATCGCAAGGGGCTCTGTATCTCACTCAGTCGCGTGGCCTGCACTTTGAAACTTCTAGTTATACAGTTAAACCTGCCTATAATGAACCACCGTATAATGAATTCCTCTATATGACAACGTTTTTCTATTCCCCACCGTTACTCCATCCTCTATGTAACAAACTAAAAGTGGGAGACATTTTTCATATAATGAATTGTCACCACGGACAATGCAGGAATATTGCCCCGGATTTTGTTATTTTAGCACGGGCATGCATTCTCAGTGGTTGCTCCACCACTGATGAAGCGCGAAGCCGCAACTGTGCATACAGCATGCTCGTGGCCCCGGCGACTCCCAGGTGAAAGTGTGCGCTCGTTATTGCGCAAGGGTGTGTGCGAAACTGGTGGATAGGTTTGTGCTCCTTGAGCCTGCGTTGCTGCCGTTCTTGCCGTTGCAAGCGAATGTGCCCTCCCTCCAAATCTAAAAATTGCCACACCTCCCTGAAGGGAATCGTGTGAAAATGCGAATGCATTTCTTGCGCCAAGAGTATATAGCGAAGTAACTTTAAGATGATAAATTAATGACGAGACGAGGATTTGTACCGTAACCATTTATTTACACATTCATCAGACAGCGAACGGTTGAGAGTGAGGCACGTGCTTCATTCAATTTATATATACATACGAGCGAGTGGATGGTAGAGTGAGGTGCAAGGAGGGAGAGAGAGCGAACGGCTAGAGAAGGAGCACCGAAGCACTGCACCTACTCTCTCCTACACTCTCTTTACACATGCGGGAGCTCTACTGAGCTCCCGTGATGCGAGCGCCCTCACACGTCAGAGCATGCTCCTCTTCTGCACTCACTCTCCGCCCGCTCCACCTGCTCCAGTTGCTAGGGGCAAGGTTAAGCGCACGCGTCTGCAGCTGTTGCTATGAGGGAGACAGTGAGAGTGGAGAGATAACACCTGGCGGTGCGCGGACACCCCTGGAAGCCTGACATAGCCCGACTAAGAAATGCATTCGCATTTTAAAAAATAGAAGAAAAGTACTTTTGCAGTAACTGTGCCACTCTTCGATTGCTGCAGAAGTCTGAACGCCACTTTAATGACACAGGCTATTCCACTTCCCGTTGTTATGCTTTTAGTTAGCATCACATATGTGGGACCATGCTGCATATGGAGCACGCTTGACCAAATAGTTTGCCACAGTATCTCTCGTTCGTTTTTCGTTTTCGAGGCAGTGCGCACATGAATGGTTCACTATGCGTGCAGCATTGAGTGGTGCCCAGCAGTGTTCAACTTTGCTTTTTTCTATTTTTTTTATTGTGGACCACTACCGAGGAGATGTCACATTAGGCGCTCAGGAAAGCTCTCCAAGACCACAGTGACGGCGACGGATTTTTCAGGTCGACTCATCATGCGCTTCGCCGTCTTGTGCCGGCACCGCGAGTTCGTGAGACTGTAGCCTTCGCAATTAGCTGGCTAGCTCTGGCAACACAACGGTACGTTGAATGAAATGCAATGAATGTGATAGTAAAAAATGTATGTTAAATGAAGTAAAGCTGGCAGCGAACTTTTTTGGATCTGATATCGCAGAACTCCTGAAACACCCTGGTGTAAAGGAATACCGCCCCTCCAGGAAGTAGTGCTCTTCTCACACAGTCTCTTTGCGTTGAAAGCGCACTGATGCTACCTGAGATAGCACACGCGTTAGCGATCATGCCCCTCAAAATCAATGTGCACTGCTAGTACTCGAGCCCCCCCCCTCCCATGCTTTTTCATGCTCGTGCTGTTTGAGCATTCGACAGCAGTTCTAACACGCGAGGGAGTGTTATTGTATGCGCCCTCTAGGCAATAGAGATGGGCCGGCTCATTTGATCTCTGCAACATGTCGCTGATGGTAAAAACCAGTCGAGAGTGTCTATATAAGTGCTATTGCAATATTAATGCAATTTTTTAGAGATAAATAGGTGCTTTATGTGAGCTGTGTTTTCAGTTTCCCTTTTGTTTAATTTGTGTGTTTATTTTCTAAATATTTACACCAAACCTGCATATAACAAAATCTTCGTCATGACAAAGTTTGAGGGGTAATTCGTCGATTTCGTTATATCCAGGTTTAACTGTATCTGCCCTTGATATTTCATGAAGTTGATCATGTCTCTGCATAAACTTATCTCACTCATTATATTGCCTTTGAAATTTTAAGTCAGTGCTCCTTAAGAATGGGTATTTTGACAAGGCATTTTAGGAGCCATGGCTTTAAGCTTTGTGGAGCATGCAGTTTGCTGTGCTCCCAATTCTGTTTTGCACATGACATCTCAATCTGGTATCTAAGATGACAGGTACAGTGAAGAGAGATACCAGAGATGGTGCCATTAAATTTCGAGGCTGTAGCACGCTTGTTGCGGGTTTCCTCTGCATGCAAGGACACTCCTCACAAAGGATTGGACACAGAAAATGTTTACAGTACTATACTATCATTCAATTCCAAAGTGTTGTACCTAAATGCTAATTCTCCCGATCGAGAGCCACCCTAGCGTGTCCAGCACAGATGTATCTCTATAGAAAGGGCAACAAAAGTTGTAGTGACATCCCACGACATTTGCAATGACGTGAGTGACCTCCACTACATCCGCAACATACGTACTCGCAAAGCATCGCTTTCTATATCAGTCGCAGCTGATGCAGCTAGCCATGGCAACTGTCGGCGCATTTGTTTTACTGGTGCTTGTGTGGGATGTGTGTGCGAGAGTAGACGGTACTCGGCACGATGTGTGTCACATCTTTGTGAGGTCACATGACCAAGCAACCTACGCTGCTATGTCACTGCCCAAATAGGCACCCAGAAACTGAAGCTGAAAGATGTCCACATAAATAAGGCAACATAAAATTATTTTGCGACAATACACAAATAGTCCTGCAAGTATCATCCCTCCTAGGACTAAAGAATGCGCACACCGCAAATTTGGTGACACCAGTCTCTTAAAGCATGCTAACCTCAATTGCAGCATATGTTGAGAAATTTCTCCCTAATGAAATACAATGTATCTTCACTAACCTTAGCATAAGTTTGCCTAAGTATTTAATGTAAGTCTGTGAATCGACATAAAACCTAAACAGAAATAAATAGTGGTCAAAATATTGCAAGGTGACCAGTGTAATGGCACCATACATTAAAGCTGCCAATGGCAAACATTCAATTAATTAGACTACATCCTTCATTTCATTTGCCATTAACCCTTTATTGCTTAAATTATGAAACTGCTGAAAAAAATTGTTTTCATATTCCAGCTTTGAATAGCAACCTTTAAATAATTTCGCTGATAAAATATCTACGAGGCCTGTTAGAAAATTATTGGACCTTATTATTATTATTTTTTCGCAAGCACCTGATGGATTTGAAACAAACGCGCTTGCATCAGCCGACCTTGGACCTTCGTGCGCATGCGTGAATTTTTCCCTCCCTGCCAATAGCGTCAGTCGCTAGGACGCAGGGTTTGAGTGAGGTAGTGCGCAGTGCTTTCGTCGGTTTTTCATTGCAAGGAAAATGATGAAGAGACTGGAGCAGTGCTACTGCATCAAATTTTGTCAGAAACAGGGCCAAGTGGAAACCATGGGGAAGATTAAGACAGTTTTCGGTGACAACGCTATGAGCCACACACTGATAAAGGAGTGGTAAACCGGTCTAAATATGGCTCCACATCTATGAAAAGCGAACCACGCTCCGGTCGGCCATTAACATGCCTAAATGACCAGGTCATTGCCGGAGGCAACACTGTGGTGATGCATGAGTGTCGTGTGACTATTAGGGATATTATGTGTGCAAGGACGGCATTAGCACTTTCTCTGCACACTCCATTATGACTGAAGCTTTCGCCATGAAGAAATGCAGCCTAATTAGTGTCCAAACTGCTCACAGTAGAGCAAAAGCAACATTGAGTTGAAGTCTCACAGGACATGCTGGATTTCACAAGCAGTAACCCCAGCTTCATGAACACCGTTATCACTGCTGATGAGTCTTGAGTGTACGGGTACTACCCAGAAACCAAATCACAGTCATCGCAGTGGAAGACCCACCAAGTGCGCAGCAACGTCAACGTGATGCTGAGTGCTTTCCTTGACTCCCGCGGTTGTAGGGGGTCCGTCCTATGTACGGCTGACACAGAAGCCTTGCTAATCTTTCAGCTGAACACAATTGTACCGTGCACGATTAACGTTTCCTTTTTGTAGCGCGAGTCATCACAACTACACGGGTTCGGGTGAATAAAGGCTGGTGCACACCGGCGTTTAGCAGGGGTTGCGCGACCATTTGTGACTGGTCGCAAATTGTCGCGAACGGTCGCAAAGCGACTGCTTTGGCTAGTTGCTTCCTGACCAATTTTTCAGTCGCGCGACTGCGGTCACAAAGCTGCTGGAACCAATAAGCGATGCTCAATTTTTGTTGTTTGTTTTTCATTGCGCTAGCGAGAACGGATAAAAACAAGAAATGAGGCACGCTCAGTTTGCTCCGCTCACTCAGCTGGCGGCGATCAGCTGATCGGCGCCGGTCTCCAGAGTTCTCGCCGATAACAAGATCCGGACGTGACTCTCCGCTATTGTGACTTCCGGTCGCTCGCATGCAGCCTCTGTCGGTGTGAACATCAGCCGCTTTTTGGTCGCCAGTCGCAAATGGTCGCGCAATCGCTGCTAGTCGCCAATGTGCACTAGCCTTAAGGCAACAGGCAAGGTCAACAAAACAGCACTTTATTGCTACGGTAGCAATAATGAGTAAATGTCATGTAGAGGGACTTCACACAACAAAGGGTAGACCCTTACACCCGAGTCGTCGTCTTCCTTGGCTCAGTGCAAGAAAGAGCGCCCGGCCGTTGGCACGCCAGTTTTCTCTACCGTTCCAGTTTCCCTCTCCCTGACGAGAGTTCGTTCCTTCGCTAAAAGAGGGGAAACCCGTTCCTTGAGCCAGGAAAAGGGAATGGGACGGGCCGGCCGCGAGGTGACTCGTCCCTTCGCAAGAGGCTTCATTGACTCGTTTCTCGAAGGGACAGACATGTCCTCAGAATGAGGCTGCCGGGCTGCCGTAAAAGGCCAAGGGTCACTGGGCGCATGTGCTCCCCCACACGGAGTGGTACACCACGAGTGTGCACCACAGGATCAAAAAATCATTAAGGAGTACTACAGCGATGTCCTCCGTTGCCCACGTGATGCTGTGTGGCGCAAGAGACCCGAGTTGTGGTCAACAGAAAACTGGAGCATCCATCACGACAAAGCTGTTGCGCTTTTCTCACACTTAGTTCATACTTTTTTTGGCAAAAAGTCAGACTCCTGTTGTTCAACAGGCTTCTTAGTCCTTTGATATGGCCCCCTGCAACTTCTCGCTGTTTCCCAAGCTCGGGAGGACATTAAAAGATGGCGATTTCAGACAAAGAAGCACATTATGGCCGCAACGACAGCTGAGCTAAGCTCATTTCGAAAGAGGCCTTCTCAGAATGCTTCCAACAATAGCAGCACCACAAGTGTTTGGAGTCCCAAGGGGACTACTTAAAAGGGGATTAGATTTCCATCGCTCCAATTATTAAAGTTTTTTTTCTTCCACTAAAGGTCAGACACTTTTCCAACAAACTTTGAAAAATGCAATTTTAATGCGCACTTTCGTGTACGTCGCGAATTTTCAATAAGCCACAGAAGCGAGGACCTTGCAAACAAAAAACGTACTGCAGAACTACGTAACATCTGTGCCACCTCTTGAGTGCATGCACACCAAATACACAAAATTATTGAAGATATAAGTTACATCACCAAGGCGAGAAAAAACTAAGAGGTGAGAGCTGTTGCACGCACTTTGCACTCTTCGCCATCAGCTCCAAAACAATTGGTTGTAGCTTAAAATTCCTTAGATGAAACAGTGCTTGATTTTTCATGCTGAAAGCTACAAGCCTCGAGAGTACTTAACAGTTGGCATCAAAAGTGGCACGCATTTCGTGAATTACTTGCTCGAAGTTTTGCAGTATGTTGCGAATTCGCGACATGTGGCAGTAAAGGGTTAATAAACTATTGATGATTCCTCCCTCAATTTAGAATACCATATACTCGCTCTTTGAGCAGGATGGCGGGAGTATTCCTCACCTGGCCTCTTCAGAATATGTTGATCTATCTAGAGGTGCCATGAAGTTGACGAGCTTTGGAATGACATCATACCTGAAAGTGTGTGAATCAAATTATTATAAAGAGCAAAGTAAGAGTAGCGCTATTGTGCACAAAAAAACTTATGCATCGTAACTCGCACCAGTAGACCTCAACAAATGCTCTGAATGCATTTGCAGCAACGACAACCTGTTATGACAGTGGACGCCTTCTCAGTAACACCTGTACTGTGATGCACACATATTGTTGACATCCATTTATTTTTATTTTCTGTAGCCAGAATGATGTTTCAAACTAGTAGTTCGGTCAATTAGTGAGATGGCTTCAGCTTCTGTGCTTTTTTTTCACAGTTACATTACCATTTCTTCTAATACTAACAGCCCCTGTACTTCTTTTGGCATCAATGTCTGTTAGCTCTCATTAATACTGTGTCTAACAAAGAAATACGAGCCCTTAAACATACACTTCTTTCCTTCATTCATAGCGAGAGTCTCGCTCTGGCAGACTTGGTGCCTTCAGGTGGTATGTGAGGGATAATTGATCAGCTGCCAGCTAGTAATAAGATCACATGCTTTGTGACGCCAAACAGGCACAGAAGGAGTGTTCCAGATTCGCCATCATGGCTACTGGTGGTGCTGGCAGATGCTCCCACAGTTAAATCAACATATTGCCGCGTGCATAGCTGCATTCGTTCGGCTGGTACGACACTTCTGGAGCCAATGGACGACGCACAGCGTCTGCATAGGTACACGAGCTTGGACGGTGCGGTGGAGCGGAATATTGCTGAGGAGAGGCAAACGCTTGTCGAAGTTCATGGCGAACGATTTCAGCGACGGAGGCTACCGTGGACTCCTGCTGCGGGAGTGCCTATGACTGCAATGTGTATTTTGCGTTCTCCTTCGCGATCTCCTCACGCACGATCTGTGTAATCAGGAGGCGTAGAGCAAACTCGTAGTTTGCGGTAAGTGCGGCGGCGCCTGCAGCTGCGCCAGTGGCCGGGCGATCAGACTGTCGGTACCGTTGCTGTAGTGCACGCTCTATTGCGGTGGCCTCCCTGGTGAACTCGTCCACTGTTGTCGGCGGATTGCGCACAAGACCAACAAATAGCTGCTCTTTGACGCCCCTCATGAGATGGGTTAGCTTTCGAGCCTCGGGCATATTGGGGTCCGCGCGGTGGCACAAGCGCACCATATCCTCAGCAAACATGGCGACGCTTTCATGAAGCTGTTGGGTGCGTCCTTCAAGAAGGCGTTGTGCGTTTTCGCGTCGGTCCGCGTTACCGAAGGTGTCAAGAAACCGACGACAAAACTCCTCCCATGTCGTCAATGTTGCCTCCCGGTTTATAAACCACGTCTTCGCGCCGTCTTCAAGGGCGAAGTATACGTGGAAGAGCTTTCCCTCGAGGCTCCAGTAGTTCGATTTAGCTACCCGTTCGAACTGCTCAAGCCAGTCTTGTGCATCTTCGTTCGGCCGGCCATGAAATGGTTCAGGAATGCGCATATTCTGGACCGTCACCTGTGCAGGACTCCTTGTCATTTCTTGAGTAGGGGTGGTTGTCGGAAGTGTTGCTCCCTTTAAAAAGCCAAATTCTGGTTCAAGACCTTGAAGGCGACGGCTTGAGCGGTGCACAGGCGTCTCCACGCGTGGCTGTCTCGTAGGGCTGGACTCGGGGCTTCTCACAGGGGTGCTGATAATGAGGTGGTAGTACCCAGCACCTCCACCAGTGTCGCGGGTTATAAATGACAGGGGGTTTATTTAAAAACACGGACAGTGGGACTTGTAGAGACGCTCTCAGAGAAGGCCGCTAAGATTGTCGTCCTCTTCACTCTGCTGCGCTGCGCCTCTCGAGCAAATCCACGTTCTTCGTTGTCGTCGCTATTTCGCCGCTAAATGCAGCTATGCACGCGGCAATATGTACCATACAATGCGGATGATGGGGGGATAGCGGCCATGGTAGCTCAGTTGGTAGAGCATCGGACACATTGTTCGAAGGTCGTAGGCTCGGTCCATGCCCATGGCAAGTTATCTTTTCATCCACTTTTTTTTTTTCACATTAGAATTGCTTCTAATAACATCCCTATACTTCTCTTGGCATCACTGTCTTTTAACTCTCATTATTACTGTGCCTGACAAAGAAAAACAAGCCTTTAAATTTATACTTCTTTCTTCCGGGACAAGTAGTAGACACTTACACACTTAGCACACTAAAGAGAGCCTAATGTACAAGAAATATATCGTAACAAGGTCGACAGCTGGCCAGGTTGGTATGGTTTCATATTAAAAGCAGTGCAAACGACAGGACAAGACGTAGACACTTGCAATGCTACTTATTGTCCTGTTGTTCGCGCTGCTTTAAATAATAAGGAACTATAGCAACTAGCTCTGCTGTGACCTTGTTACACTAGACCAACTCTTGAAGCGGCAAAGTTTAGACAGAGAGACGATATAAGTTGCCCTTGAATCTGTTCCATCAAAAAAGTAAGTGGTATTTTTGTCACGTTAGCCACCTGTTTGATTCGTTGTGTCGATTGCCTTGTGTGCCCCTTCTCCTTACCTTCTCCTCACTCTTGCCTTCGTGCAGTGTCAAATGTATTTATATGCGATCACATGCAATAAACTTAAATTTTTAGTTAGCACTATGCGCTGCCTTGATCTGTTGCCATCAGTGTGCTAATTTGTGCTACTATTGTGAATTAGGAATGAATGACTTTTCACGCATGTGTTTTATTACAAGATGCATGTTAATGAGATGTATATATGAAACTTCTAGATAATGTATGAAATGCAAGTGCACCAAGTGAACTAAGCAGAAAAGACTTGAGTGCTAGACATGCAATGTTAAGATATGTTTCGCACAAAGAAACTGCTTTGCTGCATGACACACTCATTAGTGCTCACAGTATAATTGTTGTACAGGAAGCATTATTGAAACCAAAAATTTTTGCAGCACAGCCATTTAGCCTAGTTGGAAATGGTTCATGCTTAAGCAGCATGACATAATCACAAGGACACAAGAGAGGTTCACGCAGTGCAGGTGCTTTTATAACAACTTTATTAACAAAAAACTCAGACTCCTTATTTGATCAGAACTGTGCAAGGTTCTTTCTGTTCAGCGCACATAGTGACAGATGTGAAATGGTTAAAAAATCATGAAATAGAAAGATGACTTACAGAGTCACCTTTGTGATGTGCAATGGAAAATTTGAATTTTTCAGAGATGGCCCTGTTAGACAGCAGCACATTTTTTATATCGCATATATTTCTGTTATACTGGTTTCCTTAGGAAGTAGAAGTGTGTCTATATAGACTTAGTACGATTTTGTCCAGTAATTTAAAATTTTGGGAATTTACATTTTTTGCAAAACAACATCTCAATAATGAAACTTGCGTGCATGAAAAGTTAATTCATTCTGCCTGTTATTTACACATTACATAAAATATTAGGTGCTGTAGTTCCTTAAGCTTAAAATGAGAAATTGATACGAAAAAATTTCGGATGCTGCACACTAGTGGTTTGAAGAGTGAAGTACGTTCCTTTGCTGTTTCTTTTTCTCATCCTCGCTTTCCTCCCCACCCTTTGGCTTATTCAATTCCCACCCTACCTTCCCTTTCCTACCCCTTCCTATAATACTGTACAAGTATTGTACAGCCGCGGCCACGTCTGTACAGAACGCGCGAGCAGCCGGTTTTCCTGTGTGGGGCAAAACCTTGGGTGAGTTTCTGGCTCTGAAGTGGTCTATCAGGAGCATGCGTGGCCTAGTTGGTCACGGCTGTTAACTTATTGTGTTATGCTACGCTCTGCTAGTGTACCCGGACAAGCAAGTGGTTGCCATGCTCCCCTTCAGATTATGGCTATTCAATTTCCACAGTCCCGAGAGATGTTTTCGCCACGAATTTTGTCTCTCTCTGAACTCATTCTCTCACCCGTCAGCGCTGGTGCATCCCATGCCAGACAAATCTGCACACAGGTTCCAGGAACATAAATGACGGAGAAGGCAGTGCGTTTACGACGGTGACAATTTCTGTTTGCAACTAGCGAGGCTTCTCTGAGCTTTAAAAGCTTCACCATCGTGGCTCCACCGTTGATGGCTCCACGCCATGGTGGCTCCACCGTTGCCTTAGTGGTGGTAGCAGTGCCGCCTCTACTACTACTACTACTACTACTACTACTACTACTACTACTACTACTATTACTACTACTACTACTACTACTACTACTACTACTACTACTACTACTATGATGAGGTCTTCACACTGGTTCCGGGAACATAAATGACGGAGAAGGCAGTGCGTTTACGACGGTGACAATTTCTGTTTGCGACTAGCGAGGCTTCTCTGTGCCTTAACAGCTTCGCCATGGTGGCTTCATTGTTGATGGCTCCACGCCATGGTGGCTCCACCGCTGCCTTATAGGTGGTAGCAGTGCCGCCTCTACTACTACTCCTACCACTACTACTACTACTACGATGAGGTCTTGGTTTGGATGACCTTTTATTAGGCCCGAGGACCCGGTAGCGTACTGCTACGATGAAACAAGAATGATGATGCTCATACACGAAAATGATGAGGATGCATGATCAACACACGATGATGATGACAATGCACAAATGAAGATTAGTATAATTGATGCCCACATTACTACTACTACTACTACTACTACTACTACTACTACTACTACTACTACTATCATGATGACCACAGAGATGACAGTACAGGGCAGACTAAGCTTCGCCGCACAAGTAAACAACATGAAATTGATCTTGTGCACGGAAACTGACTTCTGAGTGTGCGCTACTACCTCGACGAAAGCACCTACTACCCTACTACACCTTTTATTAGGCCCGAGGACCCGGTAGCGTACTGCTACGATGAAACAAAAATGATGATGCTCATACACGAAAATGATAAGGATGCATGATCAACACACGATGATGATGACAATGCACAAATAAAGATTAGTATAATTGATGCCCACATTACTACTACTACTACTACTACTACTACTACTACTACTACTACTACTCCTACTACTACATAGCATGATAACACACGATGATGATGACAATGCACAAATAAAGATTAGTATAATTGATGCCCACATTACTACTACTACTACTACTACTACTACTACTACTACTACTACTACTACTACTACTACTATCATGATGACCACAGAGATGACAGTACAGGGCAGACTAAGCTTCGCTGCACAAGTAAACAACATGAAATTGATCTTGTGCACGGAAACTGACTTCTGAGTGTGTGCTACTACCTCGACGAAAGCAAGCGTGTTTATTAAAGGCACATAGTGAGCAATGCAAGGGTGCAACAGCCAAAATAGAATTTAGAGCAATTTTCGTAGCAGCAAAATGCTACTTTTGGAGCACTAAAATCCAAATTTGCAGCAGGTTACGGGACCAAATTTTTCTTATGAAAGACCTGATTCGGAGCAGCACCGAAGAGTAGGGACGGTAAGAGCAAAACTGGCGCATAAGGTTTTATTTTCTTAGCAGAAGTGTCATTCGCTGCTCCAAATAAATGCCAGCCACTCGTTTAGACGCCACACTAGTGCTCACAATTACGCGGCACATACATGCATGAGTAGTTTAACAAAATGTGCTATATTGCGCGACTAGCGCTAACAGCCTCTTCCAAATCACAAGACAATTTTTTGAAGACACCAGTGTGCTGCGGCGAAGGTTGCTTAAGCAGCGTTTTGCGTGAGTTAGAACAAGGCCAAGAAATTTTCGAACCGCTACCCCCTCCCCTTTTTTTTAGATGCGAAGCAGCTCTTTGACTAGCCCGTGCAATGCTGTCCCTCGTCCACACCGCGCTCCCCTGGCTGCAGGTGTTGAGGCGTTGCCAAGTAGGTCACGCCTTCCTTCGCAGTGCGCACACGTTAATGTCACTCTCTCCCTAGCCTGTCGCCGCTCACCGCGTGTCATCTCTCTCGCTTCTCCGTCTCCACCGCTCACAACGTTCGAGAACAGATCGAGCAAACAGTTGTGGGGGTCTCGGCGCGGCGAACGCGCGCACCGCCACGCCACGCTCCCGGAGTGACGGACACGGTGAACACGGTCGGTACAAGCCCACAACATACATACATTTATTAACTAATTTAGACGACGATATCGTCCGCCGAATGTTACATCACTTTTCATTAACACGCTACCATACAAACAACATAACGCAGTGACACACTAAACACACAATAACATGATTAAGACACACTAACACACCCAACACACTAGCACATACCCAAGGCGGCGTCGCCAACGCCTGACTTTCCACGCGGGACCCCGGCGCGAAGCCCGCGGTGCCGAGCACCGGGGACCCGCGCTACAGAAAACCGTTCGCGGCAGCCGCCACCCGCAGAAGAGACTCGCTCAACGCTCGCCCACCACCAAGGCCCGCCTTCCGCCAGGGGCCACCACCGGGCGCTACCACTCTACCAACAGTGGTACTCAAAGCGAACACAACGCCATCTATCGCCCGGTGGTGGTCACCACCGAAATAACGCCCTGGGGCGAGACACGTGCGCCCCGCGGCGCAGACAACTTTACAGGGGGGGTGTCAGCACCCCCACATTCCCCCAACCTTAAATCAAACCATATCCCGAAATCAGAAATTAGCTACACAAGCTTTAACAAAAAAATGATATCGCACGACCATAATGTCCTTGCACCACGACACCGCCGCTGGTCGACACTGCTGCACTGTCCGGCTAGACTTCGCCTCAACACCGGCCCCGCAACCGCAACGTTGCCGTCGGCGCGACGATCCGTCGCTAGCGCCGACACGTCTTCCAGTTGCGACCAGCACTCACGAGGGCGCCGGACTGCAGGCAGTTGCGCAGGTCCCAGGCATCTTCATCGCCCGAACTCACGACCGCATTCCTGGCCAGCGACGCCGACGATGTGCAGGACAGCCGGCCGTGGATGACATCCCTCCCGCTGAATACATCAACAAAAAACAAAACTCGAAAGAACAAAGGAGCGCGGCCCAGGGGAGGGAGCTTCAGGCTTTTCGGCCACATGGTACGGTGGTTAGTACTGCTAGCTAATACATCGGTGGCGGCCGAGACGCCCATCAAAATAAAACAAAAATCACTTTTCCTAACCCTTGCATCGCAAGAAAAAAAAAGTGAGGGAAGCAGAGCGCAACACCTCAACGCCACGATCCACCTAGTTGTGCCACGTGCGACAGGCGGCTGCGCAGAGCCTTAGGCCTAATGAGTCGCTCGGCAACAACCGGCATCCACCCAGCACCCAGCCTAGGCGCAGAAGAGGCAGCCGCGAGGAGACGTCCACTCTGTAAGGTGGCCCTATCGCTCGCCGCACACAGCAGCTTACCGAGCGATCGGCGTCCACCGCCCCGGGCGGTGTCACGACGCCCCGGCGTCGAGCCGCAATACAAGTCAGCAACGACGCCCGGCTCCCTGAGCCCAAAGAGATAGAAGAAGCTATTCACAGAAAATCGGACCACCCACGAGGCTTCCGTACTCACTCGCTTCGGGCCTGGCCTACAAACCACGTGCTCTAGGCCTTGCTCACCCCAGGATGCGGACCGCATGGCTCTCGTCCTAATTCAACAACGTTTTGAAAACTAACAACAAAAAATAACAACACTTGCGAGCAAAAAAAATAAATAGAAAGTCAACTTGCCGACAAATTGAAACACGTTTCAAAACCAATCTCCTCGCTTCTCAACAAAGCACACCACCGACGCTAGCAAAGAAGTCCCCCCTAGGCCTACTCTACTCCGGCTCTAACAAAATCCCTGTAGCGAACCGCAAAAACCGTCGTCCGACACTCCAAGAGCTCCACGTTGGGCAGCCAGTGTGGGGTCCCGGCGAGGCGAACGCGCGCACCGCCACGCCACGCTCTCGGAGTGAACGGACACAGTGGACACGATCGGTACCAAAGCACACAACATACATACATTTATTAACTAATTTAGACGACGATATCGTCCGCCGAATGTTACATCACTTTTCATTAACACGCTACCATACAAACAACATAACGCAGTGACACACTAAACACACAATAACATCAGTCTTCATCTGCGATGAAACTTACACGAAACCCAAACCACCTCGCGTCTTTCCTTTTCGAACAAACGTTTACTCTAGCAGACGCTACACCGAGTTTCACTTCAGATCGTTTTTCCAGCACTTGTGTCGACGTCCGTTTCAACAAAGGCAACGCCGTGCACACCACTGCTGCTTCGCATCCCATCAAATTCCCTTCAAGAAGACCCTATGGCCCAACTTTTCGGCTTGCTTGCTAGACGCGTTCGACCAGGTTAAGTAACAATGGCACGTGCCCGTTGGACCGGCGACGGATATCTATCACCGGGGCGACGCAACATCAAGCCAGAAAAATAATTTATATGTCGTTGCTATGGCAGCAAACGTGGTGGCTGGCAATGACGGTGTTCATAAAATGTCGACCTAGTTCGCAAGCGAAAAATGTGGTATGCCCACATTTGCTGACTAGAAAATTCATATTTCTCGTGAATCGTTGGTGGCTGTGGCAATGCTTTTTTTTGCTTGATGTTTCGTTGACCCGTCGATAGGTATCCGCTATGGTCCGCGGATCGATGAGTGCATCGTCGGGTCCGCGGATAGATGGGCCTAACGCGTTGTTACTTCACCTAATACTTTATATGGTCGATTGCGATTCGCGAGTGCCCTCACCTATTGAGTATACTATAACTTACACCGTGTTTTAAGGTTAGGGCCTGCTGCTAGGTTTGATTGATGATGCATGAGCAGGTGGACAATGTGGACTACATTTCTCACTAAAATTAATGCACGTGACATTATTTTGAGGCTGGTCGGGCATTTTGACCCAGCGTGGCGCAATTTCAGCAATATTCATGGTTTTAGCACAGCTCGGCGCAACGAAGGGGAATCGTATCAAATTGGCGCAATTGACGCAGCTGTTGCAGCCCTGGATATAGAGTCGACAGGAATGAGAGAGCAAACAAAAAGCAGTGTTTTGTCAGCTCAATTTATCTGTACCTATAACGTGAACTTCACCCAATTATGGCACTCAGAAAGACTGACGAGCTGAAGAAGTTGCTCACCGAATCTTGCGGCCTTTGCTGGCCCGTGTGTCCACTTTTCGCTTCACCTTCTTCCGAAGCTTCTGAATCTCCAGCCACTGCCTGTGACGTAAAAATTGCCAATAATCAGTACGAGCATCACACTCTTTTATCCACACAGTGTTCAGTTGTGCAGCGATGCAAAGTTTATTATAGGCTTTAAAAAAGCACAACAGCAAGTGCGTCTTTAAGCAAATATGCTGTGGAGAATATAGAGATTCTTGCTCTCCCAGCAACCATGCTGTAAGAGGGAAAGCGCTCCTCTGCAAGCACGCACATGGATGTGTGCCCCCTTTTTTTTTCTCTTCAGCACTGAACCAACTGACAGAAGTAACTAACCCGTGCGCGTCAAGAGGCACACGCAGAGTGTACAGAAGGCTTGACAGTAAGGCACAATAGGATGTGCCAAAGAGGAAGCGTCTCTCTTTTAGATGAAGGGCAGCAACAGAGACAGTCAGCCCGCGGCCAGGCAGGCTTTCATTCCCTTTGTCGTGGCTTCCTCTATTGTCGTCCAGATGGCCGGGCAGCAGCTGGTTGGGTCAGAGCATTCTCACTGCAGAAGTGGTGGCTGTCCAGGCCTGACCAGTCATAAAATAACCCAGCTCACCATTCCTGGCCACAAAGGTGGACACATAATTGTACAAAGCAACAGTCCAGTCACGTGTCTATAGCTCAGTAAACATCGCACACCCTAATGGGAATAATGAATTTGAGGGTAATGGTTAATTCTGTGTTATCATGTTGCTTCCTTGCTCACTTCAATGCAAGAGAGCACAATGGCTCGAGTGAACGTAAGCATGTCGACAGTCACTTAGGCTTCACTAGGAAGAGAAAGCTTAAAGGAATGACACAGCGTAAACCTGTACGAGCAGACTGGCCCTGCCAATAGACCTCTACCGGGGTACGTCACAGTGTGATGCCAATGATGCAATTGTGCACGGTGGTTGGCAAAGCACTCCCGCCAGTGGCTGAGTGAGGTTGTGGGAATCGAGAGGGCCCTCCTATCTGGCGCCTCGTTCCCAGCTGTCGCACGCGCGCCAGCGGCGTAGCCCGGGCGCGCATAAGCGCCGGCATCCGCCAAGATGGCTGCCAGGGCGCCTCTTGGTCTGGGCCAGTCAACCGTCGGCTTCTTCCCACGCTGGCATGTTCGGGCACGCTACCCTGGTGCGCTGCACGGGCCTACGTCACAACGCAGCGCCATTTCCCATTGGGCTCGCGTGACATCCTCCTCTTCTACAAGCTGTGTTGCGCCCGACGATTCGCTCGTCGCGGCAGATGCTCTCAGGCCTTCACGAGAGGTTAACGCGCTGCTTAGCAGGTGGCTTCTCGTTCGAGCGTTCGACTTCGGCCCTTGTGCGGGAGTCGTAGCGCCCAAGGCAAGCGTACTTGCTCGGTCTTGCGGAGTTCCCTATACGGCCTGCAAGCCCGTGAGTGTCGCACTGTGCTGCATCTTGGGTTAATAAACCCGTTGTTGTTGTTATCCTGCCTCGTGCGTGGTTTCTGCGCCGTGCCGGAGAAAACGACGAACCCGGCCGCAACGTCTCGCACGCAGCGGCAGTGGAGGACGTCGCATCCCTACACGGTTGCGCATAGTAGGTAAGCTTTGTGCAAACCTATCTCCACATAACTGGCACCCAACTTGGTTTCAGCATGGCTTCAGAGCAGACCCCTTCGAGGCGCTCGTTCTTGTTTGATCCTGTGGCGACGGACGATCTCGTTCGAGGCGGACGGCTGTAACAGCACGAGGTACGGCCCTCTCGGCGACCCTATGCTTTCGTTCACCGGGAGAGATCCCTTTTTCGGGGTCCCCTACGGTGATGCGAGTCGCTTGAACGAGGACCACAGTCCTAGCCAAGCCAGTAACGGGCTGTATCAGCTGTTCGAGACTCTTGTGCTTACGGGCCCGTCCCCGGCGCAGTCTCCGCTCGCTGGCATTTCCCCGTCAGCAGCACGGTTGACAGCTCAAATCGCCGCACCCAGTCCTTCTTACCGGGGGCACTCAGGTGTTGGCGGGAACGCGCTTACTGACCCGTCGTGGTCGCGAGCGCGAAGGGTTGACGATGTCGTTCGCGAGCCTGCTCGCTTAACCGACAACGACGCCGCGTTCACCGACGCTCGCTGGCCCTCGCGTGGGCGACGCTTTCGACGGACGTGGGCCACCGTGCTCCGTTGTCGACCCGTTTGCCAGTCACGTGAGGCCTCAAGCACCAGTCGGAGTGCAAACCCTAGCCTCCTCCATGCCGTGTACTGGCCTTTTTCGGTCGGACGCGCATGTTGGAAAACAGGCGCGCGCATCTACTACGGCCGCGCCCGCGTCGGAGCAGTCACCGCTGCACGCAACTGCGGCACAGCTCCTAAAAATTCTGTTGAAAGCGGTGCGCTCGCAGCCTTGTGCTTTAAAGGGAGACCCCGAGTCCCCTCAGCCAAGCGTTCTGAGTAGCTTAAGGGTACCTCTGTCTGAGTACAGCGGTTATTCGGACCGCATCAGTGCCACAGAGTACCTCGATGCGCTGCACCGCTATCAGCAGGCTACGCGGCTGAGCGACAGCATTATGCTAGGCTCTGTTTTGCCCGTGTCGCTGACAGCCCAAGCGGCGAGGTGGTACCGGCTCGTCGGCCACCAAGCTCGCTCGGTGGAGGAGTTTAGGGCGCTCTTTCGTAGCGAATTCCTTTCTCCTGAGTACGAGCGCTGCATGCGTCGCCAGTTAGAGCTTCGCACACAGCATCCCGACGAATCTCTTCTCGAGTACGTTCGGGCTTTGCAGCTCTACCTCCTTGCCGATCCTACGGCATCAGACGCCGAGAAAGTGGAGCGAGCCATACGCCAGGCTCATCCAACCTTTGCCGCTTATCTTCGGAGCGGCCGTTATCGTGACCTAAATGAGCTGGCATCCGATGCGAAGCGTATTCAGGGTGACATTCTGGCGGCGCGAGCCTATCGCCCACCGCCACCGCCGTCCGCGTCTCTCGAGCCTCGTTGCGCGTGGGCTGATCGTGACTCGTCACACTGGTGCTCCCCGAACCATGAGGCGGCCTCTGCCGCGAGAGACCGAGACGCGCTCGACGTGTCGCACCGCGCTCTGGACACGTACTCGTACGGCCGGGCGGCCACCATTGCCCGGAAGCGTGAACAAGAACGGAAACCCCATGCTCCAGTGCACGAGCGGATATTCGATCGCGGAGCCCCCACTGCGGCTAGCGAACGGACACCTCGTAGCTCGAAAGGATTGCCAAAATCCCCCCCCTGTTGGAGGAAAAGGCGTTGTCTGCTTTCCTTGCCGTGAGTGTGGTCACACCGCGCGTGAGTGCAACGTGCCCCAACCGCCACAAGGGCCTCCTCGCCCGTCGGAAAACGGGGTGAGCTGTCGGTGAGCTCCCCCTTGCCGGCAGCTGCAGCAGTAAGAGAGCACAACAGTGTAACACAATCTCTGGCATGGCACCGATGGCGTGTCGTGTTGGACATGACTTTCCAGCCCCGCCGGCGCCGTTCATCACCCTTACGATCGCTGGTCGAGAGTTTGCGGCGTTGCTGGATAACGGCGCTTCTATCTCGCTGTTCGGCGAAGAGGTTAGGGCTCATTTGCGCGACCGCTTTGTCCACATTCGAGCTTGCGACACTGCCTTCCACCTCGCCAGCGGTACCGCCACCTCGTGCGGCGCTGCACGGTTGGTTGTACGTTGGGAGAATCGCGCACGCTTACAGCGCTTTGTGCATCTTTCTGGTCTTTCCGTGCCTGTGATTCTCGGTCGCGAGTTTCTCGCGCGCACAGGTATCGTGATTGACGTCGCAAGTGGAGGCTACAGGGACGGCCCTTCTGGCGCCCTGCGGCCTTTCGCTGCACCTCCCGTGGTCTCGGCTGCCAGTAAGTCGTTGGACGCCACGACGAAAAAGGAGGAAAGAAGACCAAGCGTTGCCCCCGCGGCCCGCGTCTTTCCCTCCGACGCCAAGACTCGTCATTTCGCCGGCGCGGCAGAAAACGGTCCGTGCGTACAGCTTTCCCTCGAGCATAATGCCGCCGCGGTGAACGAGGTCTCGGCTATGTCGGTGACCCCCCCACCTGCTAAGCAGCAACTCGAATGGCTCGCTGCTGCCTTTGCCAGACAGCTTGTTGAAACGCGAGAGAGCACGCCTGTCGCCGCTGTTGACACGTTTCAGCGACACGTTCACAGAACGCCCGGGTTGCACCTCTCTGGTGAGGCACCGGATTTACACAGGCGACGCACAACTGTGGAAATGCAATCCTCGCCCCGTTAGTGCGGCAAAGAGGAAAGCATTGACCAGGCACTGGATGAGTTGATTGAGACCGGAGTTGTCCAACGCTCAAACAGTCCTTGGGGTTCACCGGTAGTAATGGTCCCCAAGAGAGACGGCTCTCATAGGCTCTGTGTAAACTACCGCCGGCTGAACGAGGTCACGAGGAAGGATGCTTATCCTATGCCTAACGTTGACTCGATCATGGCTGCTCTAGGCGGTGCTTGCTACTTCAGCACCTTAGATGCTAGCCGCGCTTACCTACAGGTTCAGATAGAGCCGGCTGACGCGGAGAAAACTGCGTTCACCTCTCAGAGAGGTTTGTACGAGTTTACCCGCATGCCGTTTGGCTGTTCTAGAGCTGCAGCTACGTTCCAGAGATTGATAGACCGCGTTCTAGGGGACGCTAAATGGCAACATGCCATGGTGTGCCTCGACGACATCGTCATCTTCTCTCGAACATTCGAGGAACACCTTCACCACTTGGAGGATGTCCTCGGGAGGTTGCGTGCCGCCGGGTTGACTTTGAACCCGAAGAAAGCTCAAATAGCTGAGACTCGCATCTCACTATTAGGCTTTCCCATTCAGAGCGGTCGTGTTCTGCCGTGTGAGGAGAAGGTACGTGCCATTGTGGAGTACCCGATGCCGGCAAACAGTCAGGGCCTGAGGCGCTTTTTGGGCATGGTGAACTACTATCGACAGTTCATCCCAAACTGTGCAGCCCTCCAAGCGCCCTTGACTGCACTCTTGAAAAAGTCAGCACAATGGAGCTGGGGGCCAGAACAAGAGCGAGCCTTCAAGGCGCTTTCCG